GAGAGAGAGAGAGAGAGAGAGAGAGAGAGAGAGAGAGAGAGAGAGAGAGAGAGAGAGAGAGAGAGAATGTGTGTGTGTGTGTGTGTGCGTGTGTGCATGCGTCCCAGCGGCCCAGCCCCCTGCGCACTGCACACAGTTTACCAACTTTACATCAGTAACATTTGTAGACGCTCACTGTTCCTCAGTGTAGAAATTGAACATCAACCAGGTGACCTCAAGTTCTCGAGTCTCGACAGCAATTTAATGCCGCTGCATTGCCGCATATTTATTTGGAATCCATGATCTTAAAAGTTTGAGGTCACCTGCAAACTTTTCTAAGATGGAGTCCAAAGGTTCTCAACCTGGTGACTCACCTCAAGCTCTCGACAGGCGACGACAGCGATATAATGACGCATACTTATTTGTTTTTTTGGACCACATGGATTATGGATATTCAACAAAGACTGCACTTCAGAAGATGACATGACAGTGACATGGCAATGATGGCACACCAGAACAGCGACCGGGGAGACAAGGGGGGTTATTATTATTACGGTTTAATGACAGACTGTCTTACCTCACTCTCAGGCTCTCAGCCACTCATCAGAGTCATCAGGAAGCTGAACCCTCAACAGTCTGTAATATACTAATATCCCCACATTGATGCTTTCAGTCAAAGTCCACTAAGACTCCACTTCAAGTCTTCAATTCCCTATTGCGAGTGGCCAACCAGGAAGTCAATGAGTCAAGAGAAGCAGCAAGGCAAAGCTGGAAGCAGGAATTTTAAACAAAGAGTGGCGCAGCTGGCTGGCACTTTGCTTGGGAAGTTGGGAAGGTGGGGATGGATGCATTTTCATGCAAAGAACAAACTTTTGAAAGTGACAAGGGAAGTACCAGCCACTGGCAGCCAGTCACACTGCCACACAGTCCAGCCTGGAGGCGAGCGGGTAGCAAGGCACACAGCAAGACAACCAAGCAACTTTGTTACAAGTGCCTGCAGTGATACAAGTGTTCACCGTTCAGAATGCTTGTGTGCCTCTGTGTTAGCTGGTTGATTTGACAGATTTGCATCGAAGTGACCCCCTGACTCTTGATGGAGGTATGAATGCCGTCACAGTCGTCACTTGCGGTGTAACTGAGAGTTCGCTTTGATCCAAACTATCTGTCTGGGCTGAGCTGAGCTGTTGCTGGCCCGTTAGGTGCCCGGCGCCCTCTCTGCTTGCCTTGCATTGCTGATTGCCTGCCCACTCGCCTCCCTTTTCTTCATGTCCATCTGGCCGCTTGCTTGCCCTGTGCATTCTTGCTTTAAAAAACCAAGTATTTGGCACATCGTGAAGGTGCTGGACTTGGACACAGGAAGAGAAACAAAGTGGACAACATGAAGAACATATTTAGAAGGAGAGGAACAAAATAAGTAATGCATAGAATGATTGTCACAGATTGTGTATGTGTGTGTGTGTGTACGTGCGTGTGTGTGTGTGTGTGTGTGTGTGTGTGTGTGTGTGTGTGTGTGTGTGCGCGCGTGCGCTTCATGCAGGGGGCATTTGCTTGGAGAGGATGGAGAAAGAAGTGAGCTCCAGCGCAGGACCGCGGCAGCGGGAGGTGATGCGTCGCGTAACACGGGCTCTCTGGAAAAACTGTCAGCAGAAATTGCGAATGCAGAGGGAAAAGAAGATGCACGATTCCCCACAGTGTCAGGCGGAGCCCTGAGCTTGCGTAGTGGGAAGATTGGCGGCAGGAAGAACTCTCATTGCCCGGTCATCTGGTCTGGAAATGAAGACTGCACAAAGGTAAGCGCCACACAACCTGCGCATGCTGATATCACCATGTCGATATGGATTGAGAATTAGAGAATATTGCAATTTACAGCGAGTCCAACGAGGACGAGGGGCATGAGAACAGAAGGAGGAGGAGGTGGAGGAGGAGGTGGAGGAGGAGGAGGGGAAGGAGGAGGAGGAGGAGGCGGAAGAGGAGGTGAAGGAGGGGCAGGAGGAGGGAAGACATGTGAAGGGGCATGTCTTTCATTTGACAACTGACGTCATGCAAGTTCATGGCAGAAATAGACCCATGCAGTGGCATGCACCTACCCTAGACAGCCAGTCAGGTGCAGGCCCTGCACGTTTCCTTCCCCTGAAGGCAGGTGCATTTTTATTGGCCTATTTACGACCATATGTTTCTGCTATGGTCTATCTGTGTCATGAAACCTAGGACTACCCGGACTAGGGATGGAAAGGATGAGGAGGCAGATGCGAAGCTGGAAGAGGAGGAGGAGGGGAGGGGAGGAGGAGGGGAGGAGGAGGAGGGGGAGGAGGAGGAGGAGGAGGAGGAGGGAGGAATGCTTTGGAGCTGCACATATTGCAGTCAGACGATGGCATCTCCTTCCAGGCTCCAGCTGGTGTGTGGCTGGCCACACCACATGCGTGTGCAGTGTGCACCCTTTACTAACGGAGGACGAGGAGGACTGCTTTGGAGCTGCAGATATTGGCAATGCAGACAGAATATGGAATCCCCTGGCCACACGGTCCACACCATATGCTTATCCACCCTAAGGCTTTACTAACTTGGCATTGAACCTGGTCCAAACTTCAATGTCCTCATTAACAAAAAAAAGGGGAAACGGTACACAACACTTGGATGTGACGCGCCAGCTTCCGGACCTGCGCCATTGTCCAATCTCTCCCCCCCCCTCTCTTTTTCGAATTTTGGTGATTCTTGCAAACAGGCCGACGGGGCCTCTTTTTGTATTTCCATGAATTAATGTGCATTGTTTGTAATCAGGGAGGCCCGTCCTTCTCAGGACCTTCGTCAATTTTTGGATCAGCTTTTGGAATTTCATCTTTTCGCAATTCGGGAAATACATGGGAATTACGCGCACCTTAGTGAGCGTGCTAGGAATTTGGGTTGACGGTCAGGAATTCCGGAATGAGCGGAACCTGACGTGTCCTTTCTTGTGCATGGATATTCTCGACTTCGTCTTGGAAAACTCTGGGAATTTTCGTAGAAATCTGAATAGGCATATGACTTTTTCCCGTGCTCGCTCTACGCGCTGATATGGTACTTTTCAATTTTGAATTAGCTGCAACTGTTTCGGTGCCCTTTTTGCCTCCGCGTCGGCGCCATGCATGCGAACCTCCCCTCCCCGCTTCCCTCGCTACCTTTGACACTCTCTTCTTCGTGCTCACGCTCCTTCTCACTCTGTAATCATTTTTCGTCTGTCCCTCGCCTCGCGCGCCTTTTCTCTTTCTTGATCGTCCGAATCTTGGTTCCATTTAGCGCTATTCTTCGCGCCCATCTTATTCCCGCTCTAAACCTTGCGCCGGAATACCCTGACGATTTCCTCCTCCTCCCTTCTAGCCAAGGAGACACGTCGTGTGAGAAGGATATTCCTGTTACACGATGATTCTGATTGGCTACGACTGGGCTCCGAAGGATTGACATGGCTTTCGACGGGCGATTATCCCCGAACTTCCCCTTACCCCTCCCTACCTCAGTCCTAACCCTTCCTAGCGTCTATCTTCTTTTCCGCAACTATAAATTTCGCAAGCGCTCCCAAAAATCTCTCTCTCGACTCATCTGCCAACTTTTGGGAAGCAGTGGCTAGGTGTTATGTAGGAAGGTGCGAGTCGAAAAGTCCCGACAAGCTGACTATAGTCCTGGCGGCGTCGCGCTGGATCGCCTGACAAACTGCGGGATCCAGGCCAGACCGTGGAAAGACTAAGTTGGCGGGGTGACTCGCTATGGTGGACTAGCACGTGACGGCCGGGATCGTCAATGCTTGTGAGAAGTTCGAATCGGAAGCTGAGTGAGTGCATGACCTGGGGGCCTGGGGCCACTGTGAAATTTTATGACGGAAGCGCCTCTTTTTGTCCCAAAATCTGTATCTTCGAGCGTGAGTTCTGATCACTCGGTTTTTAAGCCGGAATTTCCCTTGACAAGATCGCCGAACATTCTGTGATTGCTTTCTACTTGTTCCTCCCCTCTGATCTGCGTCTATTCTCCCTCACTCTCTCCTTCTGTCATGTTTTGTTATAATTATGGTAACTTTGCTTCTCTCACTTTGATATGTGCATGCAGTGGGTTAGTTGTAGCATGACTGGGAGGATGATTGCTCGACCGACTGGATGATCTGGCTGCTTAGAGTGTCGAACGAATGATGTATGATTAGGAATAATTGTTGTGCTTGCTTTTGTTGCCATGTGGACTGACGCCCCAACCCCACCGGGCGCCAACCTCCCGTACGCCCGCTGCGCCCCTTCCCGTACAACGAGGAAAGGACACGTGTATGCGAGTGGGATGTATGAGAAGCCGTCGCCAAGATCAACGGGCGCTACTACTTTCCTTCCGAAACTCAGTGTTCTGGGTTCGTCGGTGTGGGTTTTGTTATTGTTGATACGCACGTTCCGCCCTATTCGTTGTTGTTGCCATTTAACGACTTGATTGTCGTCCCATGGACAGCAGTAGAACCTCGTTGGCCTAACACTCTGTGCATCGATTGTCGCTACTTCGAGCGTTACCGAGCCAAGGGTTCCACTACCGCACACATGGCGAGGACAAGCATAATGAGAGGTCTACTCGATTGAAGCCCTACACGTCGGATTCGTAGTTGTGTAACGAGCGCCGACGACGGCGACGAGACCTCATCCGTAAACGGGATACCACACGTGTACTTGCCCCTTTTCACGCGAAACGAAGAGTGACGGCTCGCTGGGAAGTTCAACGATATTTTTTGGATTGAATTTCCCATAGTCGCGAATCCCGCGTGCGCCTTTCTCTCCCTTAAACCCGCGCGCAACGGACCTCCTTCTTACTAGGGTCGGACCAACACGGGGATTTCAGTTCTGCCTGGGTCCCCACAGACTCCACAGTGCCCACACTCAATTTTCCCAAAAATCCTTGGCACAACCCATCTTCGCTGTCCTCCTGAGGCCCTTCCGCGAACCAAAACGCTCCGATTGGGAAGCAGCGCAGGGCATGAGGTTGGTATCGGAGCCGACACGTGCCGGTTCTGACGTTAGTAAGACGAGCTGGCGAGAGGAAGATCAACCAACCGATCTAATCGTCTGAGTCCTCCCGTCACTCGACAAAGGTCCGCAGAAACCCAACAAGAGATGCCTATGGCCAACGCTACGTTTTACCCCAACTATACCCATCCCGAGGCATGACTCGAAGCCGTGCAAGCTCAAGGATATGGCGCCGATGAGATCGTCGACGAGATGAGACAAAAATGTGAGAATCTCGTACGCAATAGTCGCTCTTCCGCCTTCAGCGATCTCCCCACAAACAAGTCCAAATAAAGTGCCACAAGTCTCTGTCTCCGTCGGCCATGCCTGCGCTAGTACTAGCGAGATCTCGTTGTGGATCTCTAACTCCCGATTGTTGTAGTATCGAGCTCGGTGACACCTCACTGTTAGCATGCACACGCTGACCGATGCGAATTCACTTCACTTGTGGAGGTAAGGAGGATGCAAGGGGGGGATCGTGGCAGGGCGAATCTCCAAGGTCAGAAGGGGACCAGCCGAAGATGGTTAGAGAGTTGGAAGATCTGAAGGGAGGGAGAAGGTCGAGAAGCAATTCATCTACGCAAACGATAAGGACGAAGAGGGGGAATGGGATGAGTTGGTGGATCAGTGCTACTAGTTCGAAGAGAAAAGGTATCGATACACTCGGTTCCCACCACTGTCGCCCAGGTCGGGCCAGCCGCTGCCGCCAATCCGCTACCCACTCCTGTCCCCACTCGTAGAGGCTGGTGATCACTGCGTTGAGTTGCTGCAAGTGGATAGTACACAGATCACCACTGAAGGCGAGTATCACCTTTACGTGGCTCTAGCTAGGCCAGGAGAATCGATCGAACGTTGAAGCTTCCACCAAGATGACCGTTGCTCCCCGCTCCGTTGAAATCGTTACCTCTCGGTGGCTGAACAGTTGCACAAACCGGAGGAGGTCTGGAGTCGGGACTGAGACGGGGATGTGAGACTTGGCAAAACTGCAACGAAGGGCGAGGTTGGAGAAGCTACGGAGGAAGAGCCGGTTCGATGGCGAAGGTCATGGCGAAGATCGAAGAGAAGCAGTATCAGACAAAGGAGGGAGGTAGCGTCCTCATCTGGGCTGGAAAAAGAAGACTGAGGCGAGATAGGGTCCTTAGAGGGTGGGAGAGGGCGAAGGTAGGAGGTATGTCGGACAATGGGAAGAGAGCTATGGCTGGCACCGGTCTCAGGAGTGATGCGTACAATATTGGCTTCGTTAGGGCCGAGTTCCACTACTCGAAAGCAGTCAGAAAACTTGGGAGCGAGTTTCCGGTCGCGTGCACATTTACGTACTTTCACTAGGTCCCCTAATTTATACTGGTGTTGTGGGCCTGCATTCCCATTTTGCGCCTCGTAACTACGGACCTGCCTACCGTGGGCATTTTCTGTTTTTTTCGGGCTAGCCTAGGGATAGCCTTTTCCATCAATTTTGCATACTGGTTAGCTTTGGCCTTGAGGGCCGACCCACGACCGCGTGTCCCTTCCCCCTTTTTCGGCATTTTCTGAGGCACTCCAATTGTGACCACATGGGATACTATTCGTTCGTAGCTGAAAGGGGGTGAATTAAGTGGATTCATGAGGGGTCGCTCGATAGATCCCGATGATTTGATACACTATCTCGGGCGAAGAACGCATGTTATTGGTCGCTAAGTTCCTGTGAAGAGCGGTCTTAATCATGCGGTTCGTGTTCTCAGCCATCCCATTGGACTTAGAGACATGGGGAGCAGTGTGTCAGAGAGTAACGCCGCGACGCATCAATAATACATCTACCTCGGCTTTGAATTCAGACCCATTGTCAGTTAGAATCTCTTCAGAATCTGTATCTAAACGGGTATTGAGGAATCGGTCGATGTACGTAGGCTAACGTAGCTATCTCTGAGGCCTTACGTGTCTTATAGGGGTAAACTTCGATGTACTTCGAGAAATGACCGATCAACACCAAGAGAAAGGAGTACTCACGACGGTTGGGGCCAGGTGGCACGTCAATATCTGTCGTGTTCATACTGACTCGCTGGAAAGGACGTTCTACCTCCGTCGGGACTATCGTGTTTGGCCCACGAAGGGGCGCACGATCAGTAGCACAGACTAGACAATT